TTATATCTTTCAGGTTTATATTTTATAAGGTTGTCGAACATTTTTTTCGCCTAGTATGTTGTTAGAATTTTTGGGTGTTTTGGGAGTTTTTATTAAGAGGGCACAAAGATTGAGCCAAATATGTTTCAGCATTCTGTTATGGTTTTCGTTTAAAAAAATCGTTTGCCTCTAATCGTATCTGTTTTGATGTTTTACAAATTCAGAGTGGGCATTATATCCAATGCTGCAAAAACGCATGTTATAAGGAGGATTAGATGTATTTTACGGTATGGCAAAAGTGTGGTTCACAATTTCAAAAATCAATTAGAAAGTAATTAGTGAAAAAAGAAACGAAACGCAAAAGCATGCACAAATACTGCAGGATGATTTGCTGTCGACAACAACAGTTTATAATTCGAATTTTCGGAAAAAACGGAAAAACTGCTCGGAATTAGCGGGTTCTCCGAATACCCATGAACCTTTCTTCAGTTGTTGGTCCCTGTTCTTATAGCTTGCTGTTATGCAGCTGTAGTACAATATACTCAAAGATTCCGTTTTAGATCCATATATAAATGTGTTCTCGTGAGTCTCAGGAAATCCCGCCAATCTTTCAACTAACCACCTAGAACAAATCGAACAGTTCACATTTTGCGCCGCAACAATAACTGTACGGTTACGGTGGCAAATCAGCCTACCGTGGCAGATCGAAAGCATTATGGGATAAGAACTTTAAATAGTAGAAGTTCCATATAGCTATCAGCGGCTAGTACTGTGAGGGTTAGGAGACCAAAACAACAACTTTGTTCTATTCCTGTGACACTACAATTACCCGCTATAATTTAAGATAGGGTTTGATGGAAATTTTTAAATTAAAATATTTTGCTAGAGATATGTGAGAACCACAAGATGTAAAAATTGAGCATCAGTTAAGCAAGGATGGTGTACAACTTCTCTGAATTAGACCTTTCATTACAAATAGCCTATTTTATAGAGTACGTCAAGCATGAACCGCAGTTTTACAGTAAGCAAAAATTTGCGATGAATCTTAAAATGACTGGCATCACTCATTATTACACTTTAAACAGTGAGAGTTAGCAACCACC